AACAATGAGGATCTGCTGTCTATCAGAGGAAGGTGACAGGCTTTCCTAGTTTAGAGGAAGGCATCATTTGGGCTGGCATTAGCTCTACAACGAACCACTCTGTGAAGACTTCTCACGTGGGGATCTCATTTGTTGTTCTACGCAACCACAGCAATATGGAAAAGGATGGACACACTCCAATCCAGGGAAGTTAAATGGCTTACATAAAAGATCCCAAGGCAACCGAAATGGCAGAACCGGACTCTGCTCCTTTTTCCTCTCTCCAACCCGTTGACCTTGATTTCTTCATTCCATCAGAGTCCACCTCTGTCCTGTTGGGAGGAACTAGCTCTGGTTCTGATTGTTACTTCAGTGGAGGGTGGAGCTCAGTCACTGCAGGGAGCAGAGTGTGCTAGTGCAGTGGGTCCTTTGCCCCCGCCACAGATCTCACTGCAGCTAATGAATTGCTAATACAATTTTCTAGATAATTTTATTTCCATAGCCCCACATTTTAATGTGTTTCCAAAAGCTAGCATTTATTTGCTTAATCTCCCAGTGTAATAGAATCGGCACTGACTCATCATACATGCAAACAATCAGCTGGGCAGAAACGACAGCAAATTGTTTAATAAGTCACATCTAATCTTTAGATTTTTAACTTGCACGCGCCGATGGTTTTTCTTGTGTCTCATTCACTCTTCAATCCTTTCCTGGTTTTCCTTTTCTTTCACTGTGACTGTTGGTTTTTTTTTCAAGGAAAAAAGTATAGGGAAAGTAGATACAGAACCTCTAAGCCGTCTTCTCTTTCACACACACAGCATGGTGCCCTGAGTCTCAGTTGGTGGGTAAGTGACCAAGGTGCAACATTGTGCTTGTGTGAGATCTCAGGAAGGAGAGAGAGAGTACTGGGGTCATAATATTTCTTTTTAACTGATAATAATAGAATCTTAAGTCTGTCAACAGGGTGCAGGCCTGGCCATTTGAGATTTTTACTTTTCCCCACTAGAGCCCAGTTCCTGCTTTCTTCCTGTCCACAAAGCCTCTGACATCATCTTGTCTCCATCTTCTTTCTGCAGTAGCAAAACAGCCATTAATTCCCTCCCTGCTTCTAGCCACTTGCAGCCACCCACACCTTGGCTATGCACAGAGGCACTGTCTACCAGGCTGTTGGACACTTGCATCTGTCTTCAGTCAGTTTGAGTTGCTCTAACATGTGACTGTAGACTGGATGATTAATCTCTAGAAATGAATGTATCACAGTCCTAAAGGCTGGGCAGCCTGAAGTATGGATTCCAACATGGCTGGGTCCTCAGGAGGTCCTTCTTCCTAGTTGCAGACTGCAGACTTCTGACTGTGTCCTGTGTTCTGACTAGGATAAGGGATCTTTTTGATAAGGGCACTCATCTTGTTGAGGAGGGCTCCACCCTTGTAATAAAAGACTTTGTAAAGCCTCGACCTGGTAATACCATCACCTTGAGGATAATGATTTTAACGTACTCATTTTTGCAGTGAGGGAAGGGACACAAACACGGAGACCTTTGCAGTCCTCTAGCCCTGTTTTGCCTGTGGGATGTTATCCGTGCTGTCTTCCCTGGCGCATGTGGCCCTCTGTAATCTGACCTCCCCAGTTGTCCTGGCTTGTCTCCATCCTCTATGCTACCCGCTCTGAAATCCATTTGCAGTGTGTCCTTAACCGCAAGTGAGTGCCCCATTTCTGGCTTCTCAGGTGCACTCCATTTCTCAGAGCTGAACTCAAAATCTCCTCTGAGACTCGCTGAGAGTCACCCGTGTCTTATTTATGCTGTGGGTGGTGTTTCTTGACCACTGCTCCCCCACCCTACATCCCAGGCTTGGTGTCCAAATCCTCTGCTCCATCTCAACCTTTTCCTGGTCATTTGGTAATGGAGTAAGAGTGGTAAATGGACACAAAGCAAGTTCAGGCCATTCTGTGAGGTGGAGGTAGCTCACTAGTGCAGCTTCCGAGCATCATGGGAACAGCAAGGGGACAGGATGCCACAGGAGACTCAGTCTACACTGCTCGGTGGCAGCTTCTCAGGGTGTCCTTCGTGGGTGCCATTTATTCAACCTCTTAGTCCATACTGGGGATCTCAGAATAGGAAGCCTTGGCTGGTAAAGGCTGTTCAGGAAGCCTGCTCCCTCGAGCTGATTTAAGGCAGCTGTTTGAACACCTGGCCTACTTCGGGCTTTCTGTGGGGTAGAGTTCAGGGTAAAGCGGGTGCAGGTGCCGAGAACCCTCAGTCTGAAGAAGCTGGAACGGCTGTGCTGTGCATTAGAACGTGTTGTGGGTGGACTCTGCTCTTGCTTAGCAAGCTGGACTGGACACTGGAGGACTCATTGTCAGTGCTGGCAGCTATGACTGCTCAGGCAGACTATCGCTCCCAGCATGTCCTCCTCCAGTGGATGAAGCTGAGTCCCCGAGATCTCTCCCAGAGAACTTACTGGCACCTTCCTGTGGGGCTTGTGTTTGGAAAGCTTTAGACAGCTGTGCCTGATGACCAGCCTCTGTCTGTGCTTCCTGGGCTATGGCTGGAGTGATCCCAACATGCTTTGGTGCTTGCTTCTTACTGCCTTCACTGTGTCTCTTTTGGGGGAAGCCCAGACAGACAGATGTGTCCAAAATGGGGTTCAGAAGCGAGGGGGTTGCTCAGCTGGGTAAAATGATTGATGTGGGCCTGCGCTTGGATGCCCATCACCAACATAACAGGGAGGCATGGCTGCGTGTCCCTGTGATCCCAGTGCAGTTGTTGAGGACTGGCTAATCCCATTGCTCACTGGCCAGCTAGTCTAGCCAAAGCTTCAAGGTTCAGTGAAAGATCCTGTCTCCATAAAGTAGGTAGAGAGCCGTCCTGATGTCATCCACTATCCTCCAGTCACCCCCTCACACACGTACACCCTACGGAGGTACAACACACACACATACTAAAAAATAAAAATAGATGGGGTGCAGGCCGTGATTTCTAGAATCAAAGAGACCAAGACACGTTCCAGATTTGCCTCTTTCCTCTCTGTGTGACCTTAGGCAAGTTATTTAATCTCTGCTTTTCTCTTTGTAAGAAGGTGGCTAGAACGCCTGCCCTGTAGGGATGCAAGCTTTAAATTGAGATGACCGCAGATAAAGCACCTAGCTGAAACGGCTTTTTTCTTTCTTTACGCCCCTTATTTCCTTCCGCTTTCAAACATTTGGAGGAAAGCCGGTGTTCCTCCTCCATGCAGCCCTCCTGCATGGCTGCAGGTAGCTAGACTTTAGTATCTGCAGAGAGAGGCACCAGTGGGTAGTTAGGAGAAGAGAGTGGGTGGTGGTGAGGGGTGGTCCTTGCCTTTTATTCCAAACCCAGCCATGTGTGGTCCTGAGGAGGCAAGAACCAGACCTCCCGTTTGTCATGCCGTTGCTTGTCAGGGAGGCAGCACAGCTCTTCTGAACCACCACTGTCCCTTCTCTGCCTCTCTCACCTGCTCCTGGAAGCTTCCTCATGCCACACCGAGCAGCCCAAGCCTTTCAATAGCCCAAATGCTCTGACATTCCTTCCACTTTGGACTTGACCAACACACCTGATCACCTTTTCTGTTGGTATCCCTCACACAAGGGACAGCATTGTGGGACTGAGCACAGGCAGCACTGCCCAGATAACAGCAGAGAGAGAGAGAGAGAGAGAGAGAGAGAGAGAGAGAGAGAGAGGAGGAGAGAAGCGTGTGGGCTTGTTTGGGGAGCTAATGTTCTTAGGGAAATGGAATCCAAAACTGGCTGGCAAGGAGCTATAAGCCAAGACTGCAGCTGGAAGGCTGTGGGCCCACAGTGGCATCAGGAAGATGTTGATGACTAGTGGCCTGCCTTTGTGGGGTTCAGTAGGGCACCTAGGCTACTGGGCCAGCCAACCAAGTGATAGGGTAGAACTGAATGACTATCTCACATGATTCACTGGTTTGAAATCCTTCGACAACTTCCTGTTGGTTTTATGATGAAACCCAGAGCTTGTAGCATGGCTGGTCAGGACCTCACATGACCTGACCCCTGGCTCTTCTTTAGCCCCCTCCTCACCTTCTTCCTGCTTCTAAAGTTAGGACTGGTCATCCTCCTCCACCTGGTTTTGCCATCCCTGAGCATTCACAGACTCTCCTCCATCCTTTTGAATGTTCCCTTGATGTACCGTGTGCTGGGTGGTATTGAGAGTAGAACAGGAACTGTGGAGGACTGTGCTCTTCATTGGCTCATTGTAGGGAGTGTCATAACACTATTTGTGGCATGAAGTGGCTCTCGAGATTCTTGATTTTCTAAATGGGAAAGTGGTTATAAGAATGTGGTCCCTGGTGGTGGTGGCGGCGGCTCATGCCTTTAATCCCAGGACTTGAGAGGCAGAGGCAGGCTGATCTTTGAGTTCAAGGCCAGCCTGGCCTACAGAGTGAGTTTCAGGACAGCCAGGGCTACACAGAGAACCCTGTTTCAGGAGGGGAAAAAAAAAAAAAACAACTCAGGAAAGAAATGAGTAAGTCTTTTGCTGCTCCCAACTACGAACTCTCTGGAAATTGGGGCCAGTTAGCGCCCCATGCTCCTCTCTGCCCATATGAAGTGTGTGGTTTTAAATGAGTTATGACACAGTAATGGCCCGCCCATATGATCCGAGTTATTGTTGGTTCTCACAGATTCTACCCCGTCTTCCCAGTGCTGCCTCAGACTCCTCTGTGGTTACAGGTTCTTACCAGCCCGCCTTCTCCTGCGCTGCACTCAAGACATTTGCAGAAATGTAGCTGCTTTCTTATCCACGTGGCTTCGTGTCTTTTCTCCATTAACCTGTAGGTTTGGTGGAGGCAAGGCACCTGTTGGCGTGTTTTTTTCCAGGTGCTCAGCCAGCTTTGCATGGCCTGGGCTGCCCCTGGGCTTGACCTTGAGTGTGGAGTTTAGGATGTCTAGGGGCAGTTCTGGGTCTTACTCCAGCCTTCACGGGTGCAAAATCTGGCGTTGTGTCTCTGCCTTGCTGAGGCTCTCCCAATGCTCTCCCCCACAGGCACGGACATGGCTGTCTTCTGTCTGCTGTGTGGGAAGCGCTTCCAGGCACAGAGCGCACTCCAGCAGCACATGGAGGTCCACGCGGGTGTGCGCAGCTACATCTGCAGTGAGTGCAACCGCACCTTTCCCAGCCACACCGCTCTCAAACGCCACCTTCGCTCACACACAGGTAGGCTGCTCCAGGGGAGGGGTGGAAGACATTCCTGGAGCTTATAGCTGGGCTTAACCTCAAAAAAAAAAAAAAAAAAAAAAAAAAGTGGCACGCCAAGCCAGGGGGTGTGTGTGTGCGTGTGTGTAGGGGTTTTCAGGTTGAGGGATTTTCAGCCATTCTCTCCTTCAAGTTGGACACAGAAGGGCTCTCTCATAGAGCATTTAAATGTTGACAGCTGTCCCAATCCACCACCCACTTCTGCACCTGTAGACTGTCTGTCCCCACCAGACACAGCACAGAAAATACTCATTTTTTTTTTTTAAATCACACTTTGAGGTCTACCGTCGGGAACTTTGATCAGTAGTCCAGGATAGGCTCTGTATCTCAAGGGATTCTGATGTGGGGGTGGGGAGTCGGGCTGGGATGAGGGGGACAAATTGCATTTTGAGAAAAACTGCCCTAACTTTATTACAGTTCCACCACTACCCCAGTTCATTCAGGAATAGCTGCAGCCAGCTCAGGGCTCTAGAGGGCATATGGAAGAACTCATCCTGCCTTCAGGACGGAGACATAGGCCTCGGCTTTGGCTTTAGTGTTGCCTAGGAAAGACAATGAGAGTATTTGAGCAACAAGCCATGAGATAGCCCTGCTCAGCCAGTTCACATGATGTGGTGAAAGACAGGGTTACCCAGTCCTGGCCTTATCCCTGCCACCGCCCTCTCACTTTAGAGGATAGGATACCTATTTCAGAGGACCGTGAAGGTCTTTTTCTAGCAGAGGAGGAGTAGATGACTTAACTACTTTCTTTGCGATAAAACAAAATGGGATCATCTCTACTGTCCCTGACTGAAAGAATGTTAATTTATGAAGTGAGTGCATGTGTATGCGCTCGCGAGCGTGTGTGTTCGAGTGCTTGCACGCATTCACATTCCTAACCTGGTTTTGTGGGAGAGCTAGGATCATGTCTCTTATGTAAGGATGTAGCAGAGTACATACACAGGCCTACTAGAAAGATCATAAATGGCCCTGCATGCTTCACAGAGGGTTAAAAGAACTCATTCATAAGAGCCTTTTCCTAGCTGAGGGGTAGAGTATGAGCCTGATCCTTACGTGGGTGACAGGCTCTGATGAATAAGGAGGGAGCTGTATTTTCAGGGCTGAGCTGGACTGTCCTGCCGGCCGGCATTCTCACCAAGGAGCCTGTCTTGGCTCTGGGTTCTGCATACCATCCTAGTCAGAGGAACACAATGCCATATCATTACCAAATGTGAAAGGCTCACCATATGCTTAGAACTGCCTCAGGCTGCTCAGTAGAAAGGAGGAGGTCTTGCTGGGAGAGGTCCAGCAAGAGGGACTGGAGAGAAAGGGGTATGCTCAACTTTCTCGACAGTGTCTGCATAGGGATCTCCCTGTAAGATGTATATGCCATCCCATCAATGTCTCCCTCAACGGATCCCCAGGTTCAGTCTTAGGGAAGATGGCGGCCTCTTTCAGCCACTTCCAAGTGTGCCATTGGGTCAAGTCACTTGACTACACATGGCATGAATGATTCAGGCCTTACTAAGTCCACCCAGGACGCAACCTACTCTGCCCGTGTCACCTTCTCAGAGTTCAGTTAGCCCATGTCGGTCCTGCTCCACCCTGGGTCAGCCAAGCTCCAGAGCTCTGGCAAGGACAGAGTGTGTGAGAAACCCTTGCTTGTTCGAGAAACAGAGACATGTGTGCCCCTTGTGCACACACACACTCAAGCACTCACTGATTTTCACAGCAGCCCAGCACAGGCTCTGCACACCCCGGACACAATGCCTCATTAATATTCCGTTGTTCTTGGCCCATTTGCTTCTGGGGCCCATGTTTAGCATCAGCAGCTGTGTTTGGTACGTTAGTCCAGCCGTGCTCTTGGCATTGATGGATCCTTGATTCACACGGCTCATCATATAATAAACTCTCAGCTGCGCTGGAGGGAGGGGCCGAGAGGAAGGGCTCTGAGGAGCCCAGGGGCTAAGGCTAGGGTGGGAAGGACGACATTGGGGTTGTCCGGAGCTAAGGAAGCCACTAGGTAATGACAAACTGGGAAAGAAGGAGGGTCACAGGTGCCCTGGGCAGGCCAGAGGGCCTCTAATTAGTCTCGTTTGTCCTGCACTTAATGTCAAGCTCATTAACACGTCTGCAGAGTTAATCAACATACCACAAATTGGATTTTGACTTTTGTCGCCAGTTTTATGTACATTATGGCCCGCCTGACATGAGCTCTCAAGGAGAGGGTTGTAGGTCTGGTGGCCACTGAGCTGTAAAACCTGGGTCGGGTGGGAGTGAGTATGTGTCATGGTAACTTGTCATTTTTTTTTTTTTCATCCTCTGAATGCTTTTTATTCTTTCCCTGGGCAGACTCAAGAGAGTTCCTGTTTAAACTCATTTAACATGTGATCCACTTCATAATTAAATTCATAAAAATCTGATCAAACAAACCCCTCTGCTGTTTGTTAAACTCTTAGGGCCCCCCTCTGGAAGCCAGAGGCACACGCAGCCAGCCAGCCCTTTCTCACTGCCGCCACCCCCTCTTCCCATGAGGGGGCTGGGTGACTGCCGATGTACGTTTTAATTACCGGCTTCAGCTGAAGTCTCACATGGCCCTTGTTTTATTTATTTATTTATATCTTAATGAGGATACTGAATCTTTGATTAAAGTCGTAATCGTTGCCGATTCAGGAAGGAGGGGGAGCTGGAAAAGACCAGACGGGGCCACGTGTGCAGACAGAGAAGAGGGGGAGAGAGAGAGAGAGTCTCATACACAGGCTGCCCTTCACTGTGGTAGATATGTAGTCAGTCAGTGCCTGTGTCAGAGAGGGCTAGCCTCTTGGCCTTGATGAGGACGGAAACAGGTTCTTGGTATACCTCTGGTAACGAAAGACATGAATTGGCTTCCCTAGTCCAGGACTACAGGAATCAATCCATGTCCACATCATTGGCCAGCCATGTCTCTGAGGCAGAACAGTGCCCCTTAGGTAGTAGGAAGTGAATAGAGGATGGTTCTTCTCTTTGAGTTTCTTTCGTGGAGCCCCACACACCCCTGTGCCTTCTATGCTTTTTGTACCTCTTTCACCCCATGAAGAGAGTCTGCCAGTGAACAGATCCCAACAACCACTCCCCACAGAGCCTCAGAAAACGTGAGAATTTATGTGGGTGCAGGGGCCTGCATTCAGGGAGAGGGACATTCGGTTAGCGGCCCACGGAGGGGAGATGGCAGAGAGAGTAAAATATCATTTTAAAGAGGAAGTGAAGGCACAGGCATTCGAGTCTATAAGGAGAAGGACAATTTATGCCCAGGCACGAGCACAGTTTGACATGGGGATAATGAAAAAACGTAGGTCATTGTGGATGACTTAAGCCTTCAGCAGCTGAAGAGAATGTATGAAATGCAGAGGACATTACACGGTTGGCAGGCTCGCACATCTGCAGAGGGACAAGTGAAATACAGTGGGCCATTCTTTACCATAAACTGTGGTTGTTGGAGATGCAGCCCAGAGAAATTGTAATTACAGTGACAAGACGAATCAGCGATATTTAAATATTCATGAACAAAGTCTGGGGTGATCAATCTATCTTTATTGTCTGCGCCTTCACTCCTGTAATAAATAAGTAGCTCAAGACCTCACCTTTCATTCCCAAGCTTGACACCTCCGTTACAAAAATGCAAGGTGGTTAACCCCACTCCTACCCCCTCAGCCCACAGGGATTGAGAGGAGAGGGTCCCTGGAAGAGAATGGTAAACTGAGTGGCATGATTCTAGATTGAGGACTGGCCATACCCAGCCCCATACCCAGAATTTCCTCAGAGTTGGTTCTGAGTCATTCCTGGGTGAGCACGGAAGGCATAGGGTGGGAAAGAGTCGATTCATACCCTGGAGGTACTTCTTGGTGGCCCTGTCAGTCAGCACAATACAGTGTGTCACTTGGCCATGTGGTAAGTGCCCAGTATCCAGACCTCAGAACCAGGATAGAGGCGAAGGCCCAGCCTAGTTTAGGTGACCTTGGAACAGTGTCTCTAGGCAACTCATTTTTTTTTCCATTAGTAAGATAAGCATATCAGATAGTCTTCATAGCCATGTGACACGATGCCCATGAAGCTCTGAGCATAGCAGTGAGAATACAGCAAATAGGGGCATTTAAATGGGCAAGAGCTCATTTAAAAATCATATTCTATGAATAAAAAGATCAAAAGTGTTCAGTATTCTTCTTTTGGGGGACAGAGGGAAACAATGAGGCTTAGTCTGCCTGGGAACTAAAGAGAAGCATCCAAATGGGGGTGATGGATGAGCAGGGCCTTGAGGGATGCTTGGGGTTCATCAGGGAAAGAAGTCGAAAGAACTGGTACAGTAGGAGAAAGAGCAGGTGCCATCTGGGGAACGAAGAGAAACTCTCCCAAGTTGGAGGGATTTTCTGAGGGTGGGGAAGCCAGGCTGGAATGGCCCTTGGCCCTGAATCAGAGAAAAGGGAAAAAGAGGTCGTGTAAGGCCAGGTCTTGAAGCCCCCAGCTCTACTCCACCCTCACGGGAGCCTGCTGTTCTTTGCTGGGCCAAGGAGGCTTTCTTTTCCTGGGACTGTTCGTTACCCATGGATGACTGTGCGGCCCGTTGTTCTCACAGGTGACCACCCATATGAGTGTGAGTTCTGCGGCAGCTGCTTCCGGGATGAGAGCACACTCAAGAGCCACAAGCGCATCCACACAGGGGAGAAGCCCTATGAGTGCAATGGCTGTGGCAAGAAGTTCAGCCTCAAGCACCAGCTGGAGACGCACTACAGGGTTCACACAGGTATGAGGGCGCCCTGGGGCTAGCACTAGGACCTGGGTGGTGACTGGCAGCAGGTGGTTATCTGCCCACGTAATTGTGTTTCAAGGCTTAGCCGGAGAGCTGAGGGTCTATTGAGAGATGAGAGGGACCGGAAAGATGGCTCAGTTGTTTTAAGAGCGCTTCTTGTTCTTCCAAAGGACCAGTCTGATTCTCAGCACTCACACTGGGTAGCCCATAATCATCTGTAACTACAGATCTGATACCTTCTTCTAACCTCAGAAGGCATCACGATCATGCGCATATGCGCACAGTAAAATGTTTGTGTGTTCAGGTTTTTGAAACAGGGCCTCTCTGTGTAGCCCTTGGCTGTCCTGAAACTTGTTCTGTAAACCAGGCTGGTCTCAAACTCACAGAGATCCATTTGGTTCTGCCTCCCGGATGCTGGGATTTAAAGGCTTGTGCCTCCACCACTCAGTGTTTAAAAAAAAAAAAATTTTTTTTAAAGAGATAACATGGTAGTCTGAGCACCATGACCCCCCTCTCAAGGCCAAGGCAGGCATTAATAATCAGTTGCAGCAGCATCTCCTAGGCCCAGTCAGTCCCCCGAAGCAATCATACCAAAAACCCGTCCAGGAGTGCCAGGCAATGTGATGCTTATTCAAAGTCCTAAATTACGGTTAAGTTGGCCAGATTAGTGAAAAGTGAAATTTGAGTGGTTTCATTTTGCTCCATTCATGGTTGGAGGCATAATCAGAGGACATGAAGTTATGATAAGGGTCAGGAAATTGAGGCATTAGTTCTGCTCTGTTCTGAAATGAAAGGAGTGAATGTATTTAATAGTAGAAAGTTCCACCATGTCAGAGTGCTTCCACATTCCTTTTTATATAGAAATGTGAGTCCCTGTCTTTATTGGGATCCGAGGACAGACAGGTGGATGGGGTTTAGAGGCAGTAGAGGCCTAGACCTGGCCTCTACTTAACCAGAAAGCCTATTTCTTTGCCTATTTCTTTCCTATTTCAAGTTCAGTGACATCACCTCAGTTGCTTAAAATGGGCTCCGGTGGGAGTATTGACCACATAGCAGTAGAGCTATGTGTCTTTGGAGAGCTGGTTGTTAAATACTGCCCCCCCCAATCCCCGTAGTCTGCCAGCTGTGGGGGAAGGTAGCATTTCGTGTAAGGCTGAGGGTGAAACAGAACAAAGGAAGATGCCCTCTCTGATCAGTGGGGACAGCACCCTGTCCAGAGGAGGACATAGTGACTTTAAGGGAGAGAATAGGCTGGGGAGGGGCTGCCAGCTAGCAGCAGTAGAAGGCAGAGCTATTCTCAGAGCCCTGTCTTCCCGCCTGAGCTCTGTTTTTTTGCCTCCTGCTTAAAGCCACAGCAGAGGATGGGGAGCTCATTGCTGACAACATGAGTGACTCAAGGGATATCCCAGAGTCTCGGGGTTTCCTCAGTCCCTTGTTGTGGGATGTGACCCAGTGGGCAGATCATTAAATGCATCGGCAGTGACTATTGTAAATAGCTGGTCGATAGTTAGATCACTTTGGCTGTTCATTACTTCATTATTTGCTGGGTCCTCAGCACGGACGAGTATCGATAGCGAGATGGCTGACCAGTTAATTACTGTATTGAAACAAGGTTCCCTTACATCTCTGCTCAGCTCCAGGGGACTCTAGTGGAAGGAGGTCTGGATAGCCAACTAGGGTGTTATTTTGTACACTGCTAGGTTCTCTGTGTTTTCCTCCCCGTCAGTCCTAGACTGGTAGACAAAGTCCAGAGGATGTTCCTAGATAGCCCTAGATATGGTGTGTTTGAAGGATTGGTTTCTTGGGTTTCCCCTTTCTCCCCTCACCAGCTGTAGCTCTAAAGGGACTTCACCTATTCTCCTGTTCCCTGTGGGTGAGCTTTGTTATGTAAAAGCATTCTGGAGGGAGGGTTTCATGGACTTACTATCTCCTATTATAGCATAGTTTCCTTAATTAGAAGAGAAGCACCCTTCCTAAAAATAATAAGACCAGGGGTCAGACTGCGTGGACCACCCTCCAGTTTCTAACCCCATTAGCCTGTTTACAACAGTAAGAAAATAAAGTAGAAGTGAAGTTACCCCAGTAACCAGACCGATATCCCCGTGTGACCAGTGGCTGCCATATTGGATGGTCCAGCCGTCATCTTGGGAAGTTCTGTTGCAGACTGCAGGGCTGGAAGGATGGGTGCTCTCCAACAAGCCCAAGGACAGCACAAGGTCCTTCTGGTCCTCACATTCCCCCGTCCTATATTGTCTCCTCCACAGGTGAGAAGCCCTTTGAGTGCAAACTCTGCCACCAGCGCTCCCGAGACTACTCGGCCATGATCAAGCACCTGAGAACGCACAACGGTGCCTCTCCCTACCAGTGCACCATCTGCACGGAATACTGCCCCAGCCTCTCCTCCATGCAGAAGCACATGAAGGGCCACAAGCCTGAGGAGATCCCACCTGACTGGAGGATAGAGAAGACGTACCTCTACCTGTGTTATGTGTGACCTGGGGACCCACACACATGGTAGAGCAGCAGCAGGAGGCAGCAAAGACAAGCTAGAGCGAGATAAAGAGTAAAGACTGTGGAGAAAAGAAATCAGAAAGAAAAGGGAAATAGAAAAGAAACAGAGAGAAGGAGAAGGAAACCTGGTAGTTATTTGGGCTTGGATTCCTTCTGGGGCTCCAGGTGATCTGGCTGTCATACTGCTGCCCCTCCCCCTGAAGGTCTCAGCCCTCCTTGGTTCTCTTGGGTGGGATGGGGTGGTTTTGCTCATTCACACAGTGGCATATTTTTCTCCTCTCCAAAACCCAGACCTTCCTTTTGTGCCCAAAAATGGAGACCAAGAAGCAGGTGTGAGGTCCTCTGGTCAGCTGAGGGCCTCTGCCCTGACTCCTCCCATCCCCTCCTCTGAAGAGGGTGGGAAGGGAGCAGAGAGGGCAGCTGGAGATGGTAGAGGATGCCTCATTGATGCTCAGAGTGGCAGCTCTGGCATACTGGCGGTAGACTGAGAAGGGAAAGGCTTTTTGCTCTGCCCAGCTACATCTGGTGCCCCTCAAGGTCTCAGAGCCTTGTGGCGCTTCTCGTTCTTCAGCTTCTTACACCTGCTTAATGGCTGTCCTTTGCTCACAAGGGGCTCATGCCCTGTGTGGATCTGGACTATATATTACTTAGGTTTCTCCTGGGGAAAGCTGTGTCGGATTCCAAAACCCCTTCCTTCCTTCCTTCCTTCCTTCCTTCCTTCCTTCCTTCCTTCCTTCTCTTAGCTTTCAGAGAACACAGAACAAAATAAACTAAGCACTGTACCCCAGCCAGACTCCCTCATGAGCAAGATTCCCGCCCGCTGAGCTGCTTTCTGCTTGCAAAATGGAAACAAAACAAAACAAAAACCAACTAAATATATTCCATCCAACAAGCGCACATCCCTGCAACCCCAATTTAGCCCCTCTGGGAAGGAATCCCATCATCCTATTGAAAGGTCCCATTGTCCAAGATAAGGAGTTGGGTGCCCTCCTGCGGGTGAACTTTACTTGCAGATGGGAGTGGATATGCTTGATGCCTGAGCAGAGTGGGAGGATTGGCCAGGGGAAGACAGGAAGACGTTGCTATCACGCAGGGGTCCTTTAAGCACAGGGAAAACCCCAGATCTGGAGATTAGCACCGAATTCCTGGCGCGGGCCTCTCAGCCCCCAGGGAGCATGAGGAGGAGCTGATGGCGCTTTGGCCTCTTGTTATGTTTGCTTTTAGCACATTGTACTTGAATTACCTCAGTTTCTCTCTCTCTCTCTCTCTTTTTTTTGTGACCTCATGAGCTTTTCAGTCCCTTATCTCCTCCCCACCTTTTTGGGTGTGTGTGTGGTGGGTCTCTATTGGAGGAAAGGGGAGGGTGTAGTTTCCTGTTCTAGCATAAGTTAATAGTTGGTTTTGAACTTGACCTGGTAGAGGACCTCCGCTTCTCTGGGTGGAAGCTATAAGAAAAAGTGGACCACTCAGGATCTGAATGGAAGTCCAGGAGGACTGAGGAAGGTGGTGGGAATGGAGAGAAGGATGACCCGGTTCTCACCATCCCCGTAGTGTCACTGTAGGCACAGTCCAGGACTTAGATCACCAGCGCCCAGCTTCAGCTCAGCTTGAAAAGCCCCAGGGGCCTTAGTCTGGGCTGGTTAGGCTTGAGGTGTCCTGTTACTAAGATCTACACAGCCACATGGTCCACACTTTCTGCTGTTACCACGGCCAGAGTTTTCATGGCTACTGTGTGTGTGAGAGGAGAGGACCAGCTTGGTTTTGTTGTACTGGGTGGGGCATTGTTTCTCTAAACGCTACCTCTTCTGTTTGTCCAGCCTTTTGTCCCTTCTGCATTTCTGCCTGTTCCCACCCTGCAGCCTCCCCCACCCTGAGTTTTGGAAAGCACATTTGCAATAATCCCCTTTGCTTTAGGATGGACCCCACCACCCCTTTCATTTCTTTCGTGCTTTATGTTGAAGATATATTGTTGTTTTTCTCTCCTCTTTTTTGTGAGAGAGTCATGGCTATGTTTTGATCTTAGATTTTAAAAAGTGGTTTAGGGAAGCAGTTGGTAGGGATGAAGGATTGTAAAATGTAACAGAAAGTCTGAGGGAAGGGGCACTGCTATAACCCCTTCCCCTGTCCCTAGGCCACGCCCCCATCCCTCCCATTTCCCCCTTCAATCTCATCCACCATATCTGAAGGCCTTAAAAATTGTGTGTTGGGAGGGTATGGCTTGGGGGATGCTTGACTCCCCGATGTGAACTAGGGATGGTAAAGAGCAGAGGGCACTGTGTTAGAACTATAGTGATGATTTAGTGCATTGGAAAGGAAAAAAAAAGTTTAAACTTGAGGTATGTGACCAGAACAGTTGTCACACTTATAATGTGGAATAAGAATCTTTTTAGGGAAGAGCTGTCTTTAAAAATCATTGTGCACTATGGCTCCCTCCTCCAGTCCAGGGGGATAAAATGGGAACTGTTGACCTTCAGGGGATCTATAAATCTCAGAAAACAGTATTTTTAACAGTAAGATGTTATTCAAGATTAGTGGCAGAGGGAAAATATCCAAATATTCCATAGAACTGCCTGGTCTCTTCCTTCTCAGCCCTTCCCATTCATCCTGCCCCCACCCCTGCCCAATCATAAAAGCTTGAGAGGGCTGAGCTGATCTTTGCAAACTGTAATATTTTTGTAGTATTTGTTAGTTCTTCTTAAGTTCTACAGGATCTTGCTCTTTCCTTTTATAGTGTGAATAGGGAGGGAAAAGATTTAAAAGGAGAAAAAGTTAAAAAAAAAGTTCATCACCATCAACAGCAAAATTTGTGTGTGTGTGTGTGTGTGTGTGTGTGTGTGTGTATGTGTGTAGGTGAGGTCACACTGTATTGTCTGTGCTGCTGTCTCACTGTTGGTTGGTACTCACTCAGCACCTACCTGCCCTGTCTGTCCCTGAGGGTTCTGGAGATCCTAGTGGGAGCAGAGACAGCTTAGAAGGGACATCTTCCTTCTGTTTCCTTTGCAGCCCAGACCCCAAAAGATGTTCCACCATGCCTCTCCCCCAGCTTCCCGCTCACAAAGAGGAAATGGTTTTACAGTTGCCAGGGCCTTCTCTGCTGGGTTGATGGCCGCTGGGCAGGTAGGAGGCTGTTGGGAAGTCTTCTGCAGCATCCGGAGTTGGGGAGGCCAGAGGGTGGAGGCACTGTCCTTCCCAGGGAAGCTTGAACTATATTTGCTCCACTCCTCTTTGGGCCTTCTGGTTCGTCATGCCTCTGCCTTTGGCTGTGTTCTTAAAGAACCCTGGAACCCCTACTTATTGCTGCCTTATCAGCTCGGTGACCTCCCACCTAGCAAATCCAAGCTGCTTACTGCTGCCCAGCGTCTACGAATGACTCCCCTGATGGTGACCCTACCCTCAGTGCTTCTCCCCTGCTCGCTCCTTTGCTCATTTAAAGCATTAAAATCCTATCTGTATATAGGATAAACAAATATATATATATATATATATATAGAAAGAGAGATATAGCGAGAGAGATATAAAATAGAAAAACGTCATTGCTGCTTGGTTGCTTTATGTGAAGAAGAGAAAGGCAGATCTGGGGTACAAGGGTGGGTTGCAAGGCTGGGAGAACCCAGTGATTCAGTACAATCCAGGGATGCCACGTGGGCTTATTTAAATCTTTGTGCCTGAACACTTTTTCCATGTTGAGAGAGAGAAAAAAAAAAACTGCTGCAAATTTTTACAAGTGTATGGTACGCTTCCAGGTGGGATGGATGCAACTGGGATGAGAGGGCCAGAGTCCCTTCTTAGAGGAGAGGGAGCAGGAAGCACTTTTGGTCTTGGGGCATGGTGGGGGAAGTGGAGTGGGTAGACTTTTGGCCAATCCCCTGGCAAGCCAGACTAGGGTGGACATTGGGGACACTGACAATGTGAGACAGATTCATAAAGAGCTAAGTTTCTGTTGATTTACTTTTCCCTGTTTGATATCTCACCCCCTTCCATCCAGTCTTCTCTCCTGGGACTTCTGGCTTGGCTACTGTGGCTGCACTTATCTGGAGATGCCAGTAGGAGGACAAACAGTAGAACTAATGGGTAGGGGGGAAAGAGAGAGAGAGGGAGGTAGATACCCAAGAGAAGGGTATAGGACAGACAGAACAGACAGGATCCGGGGAAAGAGTGAGGAGAAAGGAGTGAAAGCCCCAGCAAGCCTGCCTGCTGGCAGCTCCGAGTCCTCTGCTCCTGGGTGGCCCACTTTGCAGACAGGGTCCCTCGTCCCCACGTGTATCATAGTATTTGTTCACATAGTGTTATGCATGAATCCTCGTAAGGTGAAGAACCGTCACGATGCACCATGCCATCGCCCTATATATAAAGATAAATATATATATATATATGTATGTAAGTTATAGCACTGAGGGCCTCATGGCCCTGCTGGACCAAGCAAAACTAAGCCTTTTGGTTTGGGTGTTAATTTTTTTTTTTTTTGTCTGATGTTGTGAGAGCACAAGTGCCAGTCCAATTGCTTTGTATCACAGAATAGTGTTTTTAATTCATCAATGTTCTAGTTAATGTCTACCTCAGCACCTCCGCTTAGCCTAATCTAGGAGGTCGCCCAATTTCGTTTCTTCAATTTTATTGGTTCTTTTTGTTGTTGTACAAATCACTCTCCCCACCCTTGTCTCTCTCCCCCTTCCTCTCTCTCTTCCTCACCCACCCTGCACCTCCCTCAGGTCCCCCTCCCTCATTAGCCCCATCTCTCCCTCCCCTTGCCTCACTCTCCTCCAGTCCAGATTGCAGCTTCTTTCTCGTCCACTCAAGTGTGCTCCCCGTTGCCCGCTTACCCTGCCTTCGTTTTGTGTAGATTGATGCGTTTCTTTGTAACTTCAGTGTTTCTGACAAGATTTAAAAAAAAAAAAATAAGAAAAAAAAAACAAACGAATTTACTGCTGCAGGTTTTTTTCTCCATGTGTCACTAAGTGAAGTTTGTGCCTTCTATAGCAAAGAGAATATTTTTTACATCCTACTAACAGTAGATTTTTTTGTAGTGAACATTTTTTGTATTTTTATTTATAAGTCTCATAAGAAAAAAATAGCGATGTTCAGTTGTATACCTTGAATCTGCAGTTAGAAGAGAATAAAGTTAATTCAGTTGTCTCTGGCTTCAAGTGTCCTTTTTTTAAAAAAAAACAAACAAACAAACAAACAAAAAAAACCACTCACATACAAACAAAAAAGTGTCCCGCCCCTTTCTCTCTCCTGTTTTGAGTGGAGCACTCTAAAGGAACTGAGATTTCTGTCTTGAAGATGAAGGGAAAAACAAAACAAAACACTGTGTTAACATTAAGTCTTGATCCTTTGCATTGTTATGACGTGTCTGTGCGCATACGAGCATGTGTGCACACGTGAACAAGGCCGTGGTGCAGATGCCGAGGTCAGAGGACAACTCGTAGAAGTCAGTTGTCTTCTTCTGCAGTGTGGGTTCTGGGGGTCACACTCAAACCCTTGGTGGCATCTCAGCAGCCCCGACATTCAGCCTTTTTACATGACACCTTAATGCTACATTCACAAGTCATGTACCCAAGGATTGAACTCAGGTCATGAGGCCTGCCAGCAAGCGTCTTTACCCACTGAGGCATTTTTCTGGTTCCCGTTTTTGCCTTTGGAAATTTTTGTTGTATTTTTACTGTATGTGCGCACACATGCCAAGCGTGTGTATAGAGGTCAAAAGACAACTCTTAAAAAGTTGTATTACTTGATCTTTTGTCTGAGTGGTTTTTTCTGCATGTATCTATGTGCACCATATGTGTGCCTGACACCTGCCTCTGAGGTGAGAAGAGGTCCTCAGATCCCCTGGAACCAGAGTTAGAAATGGCTGTGAGCCACCACATGGGTGCTGGGAGGGTCTGGGTCCTCAGCAAGAGCAGTGACTGCTTTTAACCACAGAGCCATCTCTCCATCCCAGAATACAACTGTTCGGAGTCAGTTCTCTTCATTTTCCACATGAATCCTTCGAATTCAACTCTGGTCATCAGGCTTGGCATCCAGTGCTTCGCTTTCGGGGAAGGGGGATCAGGTGTTAAGAAGCAGTGTTAATATATGAATGTCACTTGACCTTGGAACAGTGCACTAAGTGGCATTTTTCATTCAATAAAACTCTGGCATGAGTGACAGTTTCTGCACTGGGAACTCAGGAAGCAGCACCAGCGGGGTTGTCACGTGTTTCAAAGTGTGTGGCGACGGCTCTGTATCGTGCAGCTGGTACTCGGTGATCTTGCCATGTCCAGATCAGCTACCAAAGCAGGCTGCTTTTCCCAGGCTGGAGGCAGGATCTCCTGTCTTCCCGACAGTGAGGCAAGCCTAAGCATTGTCTCAACACTACGCTTCCACCCAACTGAAGGTCCTCTGTTCTGCGGCAGCCGTGACCTGTTACAAAGCTGGAGGTTTTGCTTAACAGTATAGCACCTGCCCGACACGTATGTACAAAGTCTCCATCCTGTTTCCTGCTGCAGGTGAAAGCAGCACCTGGCTCCTCTTCAGCTCTGCATCCTGGATGCAGAGCCCAACCTCACTGCCTTTATCCTCCAGCAGCGTCCCACCGAGACCCAGATGGGACTCACCTCACAGCCACCGTGGTGGGTCACTGCAGCGCTGGCGCTGACAATACTGAGCATCGAGCTGGCCCACAGCCCGTGTCCCTGCACATCCATGGTCATGCAATTTAAAGAGAGCCTCTGTGAGTGTGGTGTGTGTTTACAGTTTCTAGTCTCCCAGGTCCTGGGTAGGCTGTCACTGAGGTTGTTGAGCTGAGAGACACGGAAGCCTCGCCAACTCTAACAACCCTCCCAGGAAGAGGCAGTTTCCCTCTTCCTGCCCTCTGCTCTGTTCTTCCTTTCTTTCCCCTCTTCCACCCACCCAGATTTGCTTTTCTCTTTTTCACCTCTCTTCTCCACTCCCCCATCCCTCACTCTCATTTCTGGGAGATTTCTTCTGCCCTGCACCTCAGTCCCATGTCACATGACCCCCTCTAAGAAAACAGTCCTTGGCCAAAGATGTATATGTTTTGATTGGGATCTGTTCCCCTCAACCCTTGCCCCTCTCGCCCATCTCCCGCCCCTCCCCCCTGAACCCCGCCTCTCCCTCAGGCCTCAGCTTTCTCTTGACAGATGGGAGGGCAGTGGGCACTCCCTCTTTAAAACAACATTTAATCGCCGTTTTCTGTTCTTGGACATCAAAGCTGGGGCTTAGGCGCTGCACTGGGGTCCTGGCGGCGCGGGCTCTGGGGGAGAGGAGGTGAGTGAATAGGGGCCGGCTGAATGGGCTTTGTGTGACCGCCAGGGTCTGCCTGCTTTACATGCTCTTTGACCCAGATATGATCTCATGGAGAGAAAGGGGCCCGGCCAGGCCAGCCTGAGAACGCTCCTCCGAGGCCGCCGCAGCCCCTCCTCCCTCCCTGGGCAGCGGGCCGCAGCTGCCCTCTGCCCCAGTCCGCAGCATGGACAACTGCCTCCAGGACAGGCCCCGCCAGGGGTGGGGGTGGGGTGGGGCACGAGGCTGAGGTCAGAGGAGGGGACAGGGAGCTGGGCTGGAAAGATACAGCCCCAGGTTGGGTGGTTAGGGATCTTCCTAGTTGTGTTCTCTGGGGTGGTTGGCCGAGAGCCACCTTCACGCACATTAGCAACACACTGCCACCTTGCTGGCCCTTCCTGTCCAGTCGTCTCTGCCTACTCCCTAGGTTCTGGTACATACTTGATGGCTCTCTTTTCATTGGCTCTGGATGTCCCCCAGGGAGCAGAGCTGAAGGCCCAGAACTAACAGAAGCCCTCAGAAGACCCACAAGAGTGTGGCAGGTGAAAAAAAAAAAAAAGACAGCCAAGTCCAAGGACGTCTCCATCCAGTCAACAGCCACTTCTCACTTCTTCACCCTCCACAGCCAAGAGGCCTTCCACCTGGTTACCAGTGGAGCCGCTTCCCTTCTTCCATCCTGTATTTTGCCTGCAGTGAATGAACCCCTCCCTACAGATAATAGGTCACTCCTTTGAAGAGTCTCTGAGGTTCTTCATTACTCCTAGAACAGGGTCCAACCGCCCCAGTGAGACCTCAGTGGCAGTGCCTGCTTGACACAACCAATCTGTCCTCCAGATCCACCCCGACCTTGCTCTAGTCAGTTTGATCACCAGGATGGTTTCAGGGTCCTGCTTTCTGATCCTCTCAGCTTCCCAGGAGTCTTGTTTCATCTCAAGCTTTGTGCCTTTCTCAGGAAACCTCTCCCAGATGCCTGTGTCTGAATTAGGTGCACTGCTCTGCAGACCCTCCTTCTACTTCTGTCATCATGGTGCATTTCAGTCACCTAAGCTCGCTGTTGTCCTCAGCTCCAGATATCAAGTTCCTTGAGGTTAGGAACCATGTCCGCTCTAACTTGGTGTTCCTAGAGTCTAACACTGCACTTGGCAGGTGCCCAATAAATCTCTGTTGAATACATGGAAGGAAAAAAATAGAGATCGGAAAGAAAGGGAGGCAATTAGCTCTCTGGAACTGAGGATGCAGTTGTCAAGGATGAGGGAAATGAGCTAAGTAAGAAGCCCCTCACATGTCCATCTGGGCACCCCCCTGTGGATATCAAGGACTGATGTGCATGCTAAGAGGGGCTCAGTGTGGGCTCCTGTTTCTGTACACCTGTGCCTGTATTTGTTCCTAAGGTCACCCTGAAGGAAGAAGCTGTAGCAGGCTCGGGAAGGTGGCATTTTACAGCTGAGGACTACCTGGCTTGGGCAGCTTCCATGCAGAAGTGAGGTGTTTTTTTGTTTTGTTTTGTTTTTGTTTTTTTTTTTTTTTGCCCCGTGGGGAAGCCCCAGCTTTGTCTTTGCCTCCAGAACCTGAGCTACAGCTCTCCCCACCTCCAGCTCCGGCCACGCCCCACCTGGAGTGCTGTCGGACTCCCCTGGGCTGCTTTTTTCGCACCCTAGGGGGTGCCTCAGTGAAAGTGAACTGGCTCATTTAAACCTGACTCTGCAGCCCTGCAGCCCCCTGCAGAGCTAATTACCCCGTAGCTCCAAACTGATTGCTGTACACTAAGCTTAAGCCCTCCTTTATTTATTTACTGACTACATTAATAGCAAAGCCGAGAGCTTTCAGCTGCTCCTCAACTGTACATCTCTGTCCAGCTTCTCTAAGCCTGACGTAGAGGCCCCCCAACTTACCGCCCTAAGTGAAGCTTCTGAGCCAGACAATAAGAAGAAACCGTGGTTTTTGTCCATACCCTCCTCCTGCCATGCTGGGATGCTTCTCTGTCTGACTCTTGGGCAGTGGGAGAGACAGGAGCCAGAGCTTGCCAGCTAGAGGGGTGAGTGGGGCAGGAGGTGGGTCACCTCTCATTTACAGGACATGTAATAAACATGCTTCCATTCAGCCTTACAGCTCTTGTTTAGAGGTACTGGCCACCGCCTGCCTTTTACAGGGGAGTAAGCAGAGGCTGTGTCACGATTCCTCCCACCCCCTACATCCCCCATACCCTTGTCCCCAGTGTCCTGCTCAGAGCAGAGCCTCCTTGACATCCTCACTTGGGGTTAACAGTCTTTATTCTGTCACCAGTTCCCACAGCACCTACCCCTTGTCACCGGGAAGGAATTCCTCCAGGTAGTGAACCAAACCCCACAATCGCTCAGTGTTTGCTGCCCCACTCATGTACTTGGCCAGCATTTGCTGGAAACCAGGAATGTTCCCAGAGACATTCCAGGGCGGGCCTGAGTCAGGTCTCGTTATGCTTGTGATTCACATACCTGAGGAAGTCCTGCCAGGACAGCCAACCTCAGTACCTGTGAGAAGATAGATGCCCTGCCTCTTCCTGTTTGTGGTTCAGGAGGCCCACATAGTCACTGACAGTTCCTCTGATGCCCCCCCCCCAACCCCGGGTTCTAGCCATGAAACACAACAGTACTCTGAAGACCAGAAGGCCTCAAAGGGCCAATGGAGTCAAGCCTCTAGCCTCTATTTTGATTCATACAGCTAGGTGGCTGTCATACTGGGCACCTCTGAGGAAAAGGGACAGTTGGGATTTAGAGTCAAATGGACTCTGTGTTTCAGGCCAGCTCTTCCATGCTCTGTATGGCTTTGATTGCATAGTGAGACGCTCCAAGGTCCCCTCTTCTCAACTGTGAGA